GGCGCGATTCACCCCGGGTAGAAGCAAAATCGCACTCGGCGGCGGCTTGGACGGGTGCGCACGGCGTCGAGCGGCAATTTCTTGCGGCGATCGTCGTCCTGGCTTTGTCGTCGTCAAGATTGGTGCGGCGACGGTGGGCTGAGGGCGTCGGACGGGCGACGGCGCGCCAAGGCAGTCGGGCACGTGCAAACGGCCCCAAGGCCGACGCGCGGCGACACGGCGCGCAGCAAAATCGGATGCCAGTGCGGTGTGTGCAAGGGGAGGAAGAAGTAAAGAAATCCACGGTTTTTGAGTGGGGTGTGGTCCCTAGGATCAAATCTAAACTTTGTGCAAGATTGGATGGAGTTGGGCTGCTCTAGGTGGGCTAGACATTCTACCGAACACCTTATGTGCAATGAACAGTAGAATTCAGAATTTTTGAATATTTCCTAGAAAAGATTTGAATTCAAACTAGGAGTTTGGAAAGGTTTCACTAGGGTTTAGAGTATAGCAAATCTCCACTAATATTAGGGTAAGCTAAAGAAATAATCTATGGTTTGAATTTGAGAGAATTTGCTCAAATTCACTAGGGTTTAGAATAAAGGGAATAAGTTAGAGTAAATTGGTTGGGTTATAATACTTAAACCAATTTTAAATAAAAATCAAATAGATTTTTGAACCAAACAAATTTAATTAAAAGCCAGAATGATGCAGTCAAATTTTAGTTTAAAATTTGAGGATGTTTGTCACACCCCGAAGTTCTCCTCCCAAGCCTAAAATTTAATTTATAAATGATCCTAAGAAAATGCAGGTGCAAATCAAAAGAAAACCCTAAGAAGGTAATGCAAATAATAATCGGATTTGACATGTGGAATTTTTCTTGAGTTCTACATGTCGAAATTCATTAACAGGATTTTTAGTGGAATTTTCAGAGCTCTAGAAATAATTTTAACCAATTAAAATTGAGCAAGCAATATTTTAATTCCAGGGAAAATCCTTTTTCCTTTTTCTTTTTCTTTTTCCTCTCTTTTTCCTTTTTTTTTCTTTCGAATGGGCCGTCGGCCCATTCTCTCCTTTCCTCCCCCCCTCCTCCCTGCTGGGCTGGCCGCAGGCCGAGGCCCAGCCAGGCCGTCCCGCCGCCCTCCTCTCCGGGGTCGCCGACAGGTGGGGCCCACCTGTCGGGTCCTTCCCCCACCTCCCGCCGCTCTCGCTCGCGCCGCCGCGCTCGCAACCGCCGCCGCGCCCACGTCTCCGCCTCCTTCGGGCCACGTCGACCACGCACGCGCGTGCGCCGCGTTTCCCGCGCCCACTCCCCTCTCTCTCCCGCTCGCGCCCGCGCCCGAGATGGCCGGGATTCGATTTTCGAATCCCGCCTCTCTCTCCTCCCCCACTCCCCCACGTCGGCCGGCGATTCCCGCCTCTCCCGGCCACGCCCGGTCCTCTCTCTCCCTATTTAAGCTTCCCCGTCGCTCCCTCTCACTTTTTCCCCATTCCGCCGTACTCTCTCGAGCCTCCCATCGCTCCCGCGCCGTGCAACCCCTTGCCGCCGCCTTTTCCGCTACTCCGGCCGCCGCTAGCCGCCGTTAGGGTCGCCGCCAGGCCGCGCCGTCGCCGCCGTCGGGTTCGCGTGGCCGAGATCCACCCCGTCCACCCCTCCTCCGTCGAGGTTCGTCACCGGAGCCCTCGTTCCCTCGCACTCGGGTGAGCACCACCTCTACCGCCGCCTTCGGCCATGGTTTCCGGTCGCCGTGGTCCATCTCCCTCTCTCTAATCCCTCTCTTCTCCTTCCTTAGGGCACCCCGAAGCTCATCCGCCCGCCGACGTCGTCCTCCCGTGGCTTGCCGTCGCTGTTCGCCATCGTCTTCCTCCGCGCCGGCCACCCTCGGTGAGGCACCCCCTCCCCTCTTTTCCCCTCCCTCTCCCTCCTAGCCGCCGCTTTAGCGCCGCCGCCCGTTAGTCGTCGCTTTAGCATCACCGCCCTTCGGCGCCGCCTTTGCGCCGCCGTCTCCGCCGTCGGTTGCTGTCGTCGGCAACGCACGTGCGCGTGCGCACGCCGTCGCCGTGACCGGTCGGCCGGCTTTGTGCCGAGCCGAGCCTAGCCTGACCGCCGCCGCACCGTCCGATCGGCCCCGGGCCGATCCGGGCCGTCGATCCCGTGGATCGGCGGTGGATCACCCGCGTGGTCCCGGTCCACGGTAGACCGGCCACCCTTGAGTCGCTGACCAGTGGGGCCCGCATATCGGCGCCGCACCCCCTCCGTGCTGACGTCAGCCCTGGGGCAATATTGCGCAATAAATTGATTAAGGCTTTTCTTTAATAGTAAAAACACATAGAATCTTCTAAAAATCATAACTAATTCATCCGAGCTCCGATTAAATCCATTCAAGTCTCAGTAAATTCATAAAAATGTGTAGAATCCATTAAAAATGGCTTTGTTATCTGTTTCAGTAGTCTTATAGCATGTTTTGCTTGTGTGCTTTATTTGTCGCGTAGATTTCGCCCGTTTCGTCGATTCGTGGTTTCTCGAAGACGTTGCTGTGGTTCCATCAGTGCGAGAGCAAGGCAAGTCATACATTGCAATTGATCATATTGTACCCAATTTACAAATGTCCCGCATTTCTATTAAATATTGCATTGTTTTACAATATCATGTGGGATTGGTCCTATTACTCAGCTATATGTTGTTTCCCTTACGCCATTGATAACTTGGGTATTAAAATGACTAGATGTTGGTTTAGGAGATGCTTAGCCATGCTTAGTTCAACTAGTGCACAAAGGGGGATCACATTAAAGCATAGACTTGATTATTGGTATAGCTTTGATTTAGTGCCACCGTAATTGTGTTGGTTAATTAAAATACACGTCATGGTGGGCTGTGGGTGCATGGTCTTGCTAGTCGCACCCATGGCATTTAAGGACCGGTTCGCGGGATGCCCTGGAAGAATTTATCGTACTTACCACAAGCTAGCGTGGGCAACGGCTGGGCTTGTAGTGTAGCTTTTCTCTAGCCGACGTACCCAGGCGAGGGTGGGCGTGATGGAGTTGGGTCGGCCGAGGTGTCCGGTTGATCGGCTTCCGGATTCACCGCGGCACAAAAGGGGGGCTGCCCGTTGCCTGCTGGGGACGGGGGCGAACCCTAAGGTGTGGTGCGATCGGTTAGAGGGGGTTATGCGAAGGGTCCTGTCACGGCCTCTTTCCGGTATGTCGTGGTGGTATGTCGGCGCACGGGAACGTGTCGTGGGGCTGTGTCTTGTGGGTACAGTTGTACACCTCTGATCAGAGTAAAACTATTCGAATAGCCGTGCCCGCGGTTATGGGCGGTCGACCAGATTCACCGTGATTAGTTTCACCCTAGTTAGCTTTTGGAACTGGTTAGTTCAGGTGGTGGTTTGGGCCTGTTGCAACGTGGTGTAACGTTGGACAGTGATTGGTTAATATGGATTAATTACTACAACTGTTTTACGGCTTTCAACTACTGCTTGAAATGCCGGCTTTATGCAAAAGAACCTTTAGCCTCCCTTGGATATATCTTGCATCATACCTCCTCTTCCGGTGTGACTTGCTGAGTACAGTGGGTAGTACTCAGTCTTGCTCTCTTTTCCCCCACACCAGAGTTGAAGTCCTTCCCAGTTGAGGATGTCTCGAAGAGGTTGGTTTCGTCGCTGCCGTCAAGGATGCCTGTGGAATGGAGTCGCCCGCTGCAGGAGTCAAGCCTTCAGGCTTAGCTCGCTTTTATCTTTTTCCGCTGCATTTGTAATCTTTTATGATGTTTGTAAGACGTGGATCTGAATGTCAACACTGTCGTTTGTGTACCCCGGCTGGTCCTGGACGGGGATTTTAATGCACATTCTGCTTGGAATTCTATTCGGGAATTTCTGGGCGTGACAATGTTACACTAATCTAATCTAGTAACGCGATTTAGCCGATACCGGCAGAAACCCTAAAGCGAGAGACAGCCGATATAGCTAAATTGATATGCTAAGACTAGATTAACAGAGACATGATAAATAGGTAGGCAAATATATCATCTAAACCAGAGCAATCCAAGAGGTCGAATGTAATGATGCAGCCTTGAACGACGCCGATGTAGATGAGACAATTGCCTGGACCGACGGAACTTTGGACTTATCCTTTCGTCGGAGATCGAAGACGATGCAGCCCCGCGTCGGGTGCCAAGTTCCGCCGGAACGTAAAAAACAAAAGTAGAAGTAAAAAGGGTGGCGATGCGCCGAATTGTATTGATCGTAGCGATAGATTACATAGACCCCGGGTGTATATATTTATACCCATGGGTTGATACAAGTCCTTGTCGGACAAGAAAGAAACTAACCTAAAGATAAAAGGAAAATATAAAGTCCTTATCGGACACTAAACACATTTTCCTAAAGATAAAAGGAAACTAACAAATTATTCCTAATTAATAGATAAACTGACATGCCGCATCCTCTTTAAACTCGGTCACTTAAGGATAAACTTCATTTAGTAGATTGATTTTCTTAACCGAATATAGCAGGAATCCGACTATTGGCGACTTTATAACTCCCATCGGCTGATTCCGAGATGCTGCAGCCGATAATGATTCTAAGCCGATGACGTCTTTGCCGATTACCAAATTTCACTGTTAACACGCGCCCCGCCCCGGGGGGGTGGGGGGGTGCTGTTCGCCGATTAGCTTTTTCGCTTTGCAGATCCTAAAATTCCTTCGAACCGAAAACCCTAACTGAGTACGGAGCTGGAACGTACTCCCTCAGTCCCAAAAAGACCAACCTAGTACAACGAATCAATGTGACCCTTTCTAATAAAATGAATCAATGTGGCCCCTCCTAGTACAACGATGAAGTTGCCTTTTGTTTTTGGGACGGAGTAAATACTGGAGACGTCTTCGAAGCGAAACGGCTGCCAAGGAGACCAGCTGTTGGGCTTCAAGAAGTCCGGCCCATTTTGGGTAGCTCACGGGACTCAAGGCCCAAACCCATATAGCCAGAAGTGGGCCATCCTAAAACTAACCGAATTGGGCCTCATTTAATTCCTCGATTCTTCTGACAGACGCATCCACGAGTGGCACGCATGGAACAGCCGCTCCCCACCGCCGCGGCGGAGGCGGCCGCCGCCGGCGGCGACGGCGAGGCCTACCGGATCCGGCCGCTGGAGCTCGCCGACATCTCCAGGGGGTTTCTGGGCCTCCTCAACCAGCTCTCCCCCTCGCCGCCCCTCACGGAGGAGGCCTTCCGCGCGCGGTTCGAGGAGCTCGCGGCGCTGGGCGCCGACCACCTCGTCCTCGTCGCGGAGGACGCCGCCACGGGCCGCCTCGCCGCCGCGGGGGCCGTGCTCGTGGAGCGCAAGTTCATACGGCGGTGCGGCCGGGTGGGGCACGTCGAGGACGTCGTGGTGGACGCCGCCGCGCGCGGCCGCGGGCTCGGGGAGCGCGTCGTGCGCCGCCTCGTGGAGCACGCGAGGGGGAGGGGTTGCTACAAGGTCATCATCAACTGCACCCCGGAGCTGACGGGGTTCTACGCCAAGTGCGGGTTCGTGGAGAAGAACGTCCAGATGGGGCTCTACTTCTGAATTCTGATCTAGGTTTCGTCTTCTTGGATCTCTCTGCCTACTACTTGTTGTACTTAGTTAATAAGGAATTTTATGTCAGTTATTGCTCCTTGTATGGATGGATGGATCACTGATCAATGTGGCTAATTCCATTTGCATTGCCAAGATGTGCAAGTTTATTTAATTGAATGGATTGTTCTCTGCATTTATGTGCAAATCTCATTCTTGCAAATGATTTCAATGAGTAAAAGTACCATAATAATCGCAAACAAAATTTATAGTGCAAACCTGTGACAGTATGGTTTCGTATTACATCGCTCCTGCCTTTGAGAAATTGAGAGTGATAGTATCACTTTTAACAGTTTCTGAGTCGTATGAGGCCATCAGGGGGGTTAGCGTGGCTGATAAACAAAGGTTCAGTTATGTTGCAGCACTTAAATTGCTGGAGGATATCAATCCTTCCTTATTTCCATCAATGACTTGACACAGTGTGGTTTGATCTGATCACCTCTTTAGTTTGGAAACATTTAGGTAGAAAAGATTTCAACATTCACAAGTACTGTTGTAATTGAACTCAGTGTCTACTTTATGAGTAAGCGCTGTTTTGAATGTATTCTTAGCTTTAGGTTGGCGCTAATTACCTTCTCTTTCTGACAAAAATGCTCCTTATGTTCATACAGCATTCTTTCATCTATATCAGAATTTTTAGCATAAGTTCAATACCACATCCAAAGTACCCTTTAGAACAGTAAAGTTCAGTAGTATACAAAGGTATATCAAACCAAGGAGGTGCATTTGATACAAGTAAGTCATTATTCATGAGGCTACAAGTAAATCATGGATGCTTGTGTTGGAAGAGCAAAACTTCTAGACCATGCAATGCCTAGTTTGAAGTTATGAACAATCCACTCTTTGCTTGCGATGGGGAAGTTTATTTATTCTTGTAAGGTAACACTTACTTTCATCTCTCTTAATCCTCCACTCCTTTAGTCTATTATTATGTTTAGTTGTTGATTACTTGATTTCATACTCCAGTTTGTTGACAGCGATGGTCCTGTTAATTAAGGCATGATCATATCTTTTTAAATCAGGTCTAGAGGCTAAGATTCTTTCCATTGTGTTATAGTAGTGGCTCAGCGAGATTGTGTCATACTAGTAACTACTATTTTGAATGCACAAGGGCAAGCCAACCGAAGTCCTAGTGATAGATGAATATTCTGTGATTGGTTGGCATTATACCAAGGAGTAGTGGGAATGTAAAGGTGGAAAAATGTCTGAATAGCGTCAGAAAGGTTACATAATTCGAATAGTATGGTAGTGGATCCCTGAATCAGCTTGTGCTGGATTGCTTCTTTTGCTTTCTTTTACCACCCTGGTTTCCAAAATTTGAATTGACCTGACTTTTGATCATAATGATCTTTCAAAGAAAAAAAAAAACTTTTGATCATAATGCAACCAGCTGGTGATCTTGCCTATCAGCCTATGCCACAAGTGCTCTCTGAAATTCACAGTTCATGAACCTCATTTGGAAGTAACATTATTACCAAAAGTTCACTTTTAAAATCTTCTAGAGGCAGGGAGCCAGCTTTGACTGCTTATTGTCCCTATTAGTATCTGCTTTGCATAGTACTCTCGCTTTCGTGTTGTACCGTCAAAAGGTTTATCGTTACTGTTTATGCCATTGTGATAGATCATAGATGGCCTCTTTGGCTTTGTCATGATGCAGGTGCAAGTGCTGAGTCGCCCCCTATCATAGATGGCACCAAAGCAGGTTCTTCCCAGACTTTGATAACTCTGGAGTCTGGACCTTCACACATGGAGAATCCCCAAGGTGGAGGAATTATTGAGGATTTTGCTGGCACTGCATCTCCTGCGTCGTATGTCTGAACCACCACAATGCATTGCATCGTATTCATTCAGAGGATGAGCCAGCCATTCTCCATTGCCAGATCCACGCGACAGTACATTTTTCCATCCCAATCAAGACCTGACAAACCTGAAGGTACCGTCATGTGGCCAGCTCTTCTCCTCCCTTGTGCCGTTCAAGTTGTCACAGACTCACAGTGCTTTGCATTGTAGGATCCGGGACATGATTTCTCTGTGGTGGCCATGGCAACAAACAACTTTGCTGCTCGGTTGCAGCACGAGGTGTGGTGTAGTGCAGTGTTAGTTGCTGCCCACTTTTAATTGGCTTCCACTGTTGCAGTGGCTCTCCTCATCATCCTTCCCACTTATTATCATAGGCACGCTGCTGCCCTTTTTACCACTCTTCGTCTCTCATCCATTCCAATTCTTGTGCATGCAGGGCTGCAGGCACTATCTCTTTCTCATCTGCTTCATACCAAACCTACGCTTTTATCCTGAAGAAAGACTGGCAGGCAATATGGGTTTCTTGCAGTGACTAAAACCACCTTCGTTCAGTGTTCATCGAGGACATGGAGGTACGGTACCGTTGTCGCGTTCTGCACTTCTGCGTTGCATGCTTGTTTGTAGACTGTATGTATTGCTGACACCACCACGGCATGGCGACGGCTTGCGTGTGTAGGGGTGTAAGTTGTTAAGCCGTGAACCCACTTATAGATCAAAATAAGCAGGTTCATGGCTTGTTTTGTTTTATAAGTGAATTTTACGGGTTGGCCACTTACAAACTCCTGTGTGTGTGTGCGCGTGCGTCCAAAAACAAATGCAACACAATGTTGAGCTTTCTTTAACAATGAAAATGGTGAACAGGTATGTAGCCTAGTGCTTGTAGCTCTCTAGTAGAGTTTATCAGCTCCTGAGTTCGACTCTCCTCGGGATGAATTTCCAATGTTGATTTAGCAAAGGATCACTTTATGGCCCTTTGGTTAAAACATGTGTTAAGAAACGGACTTATGATGAATATGTTCTTGAGTACGGAGCAGTGACCTTAAAGCACGGGTTAAGGCTCAACCATGGGGAGCGAAACCGTGTGTTAAGAGACCAAGGTTTAAGACATGATCTATGGTGGACAGGCCCTCATGTACGGGGTAATTAAGGACCTCAAAGCACAGATTAAAGCTTTGTTTGATTTACTTTAGGATTATTATAATCTAAATTATTAGAAATAAGCTGAAACAAACAGATAGCTTATTATGATAGATTATTATAATCTATAAACCAGATTACTATAATCTAATCTAGTAATTCACTATAAATGTGCTTATTTTAGATTATTAGGTTGCTAACAGCTAACAAACAGCTTATAATCCAGAGAAACAAACAGCTCACAGCTTATTCTATGTCGGCTTATTATAATTCAGCTTACAGTAATTTGACTCAATAATCTAGATTATAATAATTTTAAGCTGAAACAAACAGGGCCTGAGGCTCGAATTATAGAGGACGGATCCACATGTTAAGGATCAGGCTCGTGATCTTTCTCAGCCGGCTTTGGTTAAGATTTATTATTCTTAGCTTAGAGCAAGTTTAATAGTATAGCCAACTACTAGCTCCAAATCATTTATAGTCAATTTAATAGCCAATTTATACAATAATTACCTATAAATATATACTACACTATTAATATCTTGGGAGTCCGTGCTGTAGCTGTCCCTATAAATATGTAGCCCACTACTCTTCTATTCCCTCTTTCATCTCTTTAAAATATGTTTATAGTTGGCTTATAGTCTACTATTGTACCTACTCTTAAAAAACAGTGGGTGTGGTCTTTCTCATGCCGGTCTGAGCTTGTCAAAGTTTTTTTTTCAAGGACTAAACTATGGCCTGGTTTAGTTCCCCAAAAATATTTCCAAAAACATCACATCGAACCTTTGGACATATGCATAGAGCATTAAGTATAGATTAAAAAACTAATTACACAGTTAGGAGGGAAATCGCGAGATAAATATTTTGAGCCTAATTTATCCATCATTAGCCATAAAGTAACCTACATGTGCTAATGACGGATTAATTAGGCTCAGAAGATTCGTCTCGCGGTTTCCAGACGAGTTACGTAATTAGTTTTTTCATTCGTGTCCGAAAGCTCCTTCTGACATCCGATAAACATCTGATATGACGTCCAAATTTTTTTTTTTCGCGAACTAAACAGCCCCTATGTCATGGTGTTTGGGCTTATAAATAGAGCTAAGCTTGTGGCTGGTTTTTGGTCGGTCGCTGGTGGCTTGCCTTTCCGGGCAAGAGCCAAGAGGGAAAACAAAAGAGCGGCAAGACGGCTGGGGTCGGTGACGGACTGACGGCTGCAAGGCGACGCGACGGCGACGGCGACTCAGCAAAAGTTCCTCCATGATCCTCTCAAGAAAAGGGAGAAAAGCTTGTTGATGTTGCCTGCTCGGCCTCCCCTTTTTAACCGTGTGGCTGGATCGTCTTCTGACTTGTAATCACCGGCCCGTGAACGATCAGTGGCCGAGTGTGAGTGACACTGTTTGCGATTGCTCATATTTCTCTAATAAGTCAAAATAACTTATTAAAAAATATAATTTATAGGTAAAACTTTTACATATTTATTCATAGCGACTTAAAAAATTAAAAAAACATTAAAAATATCTTAAAATTAACTTTAAAATCAAGTTGGAAAATTCAAATTTGGTTTGGTTTATTAGGCTAACTGACGGGGCTCTCAATCTAGAAAAGAAATTCTATCAGTTAATCACATCATGATATTTACTTGGTGCTTTCTAGTTAAGACATTAGACTTCTCTAATTGGCACCCAAGAAGATTTGGACATGATGTACAGTACGTCCTAAAGAGACGTGAGTTAGCCCATGACTCCGCACCGTTTTGTTTCTGCATGGGACGCAATGATCGATGGGCATAGTCCGGTTAACCGCAGCTACTAACTAAAAAGTTCATTGCAAAGAGTAGCAGGCAAGTCCTCACCAGGGTATTTTTATTCCATAATCTTAAAATTTTAGTAGTAATAGTACCGTAGTAGCTATAGTAGCTAATTAACCGTCTAGCAAGTTAATAGATAACGACGATTGCAAAATTTTGACCTTGAAGATAAAAAAAGAGCTTTTGAAGCTTGTGCAATCTGCTAAGTACTCTTGATATTACCGTGCTGACGTGTTGATGATAGACTTGCACTATCTAATCATGGTGTCTTTTGTGACCATCATTCACTTAATTACCCTGCCTTTTTCTTTTCCAACTTCTACATCGGCCTTTCAAAGCAGTAATCTACATAAAACCGGAAAAAAGAGAGCACTTTTTTATACTTTGATGAAACACTTTACATCATGAATAACCAAGCACTATAAAGTACTCCAAGAAGCAACAAAAAATTTCAAAAGTCCGGAGGAAAGAAGCGAGAAAAATATTGGTTGGCGCAGTTGCGTCGCTTTCATTCACCGTGGTGGCCCTCGCGCGCACGAAACAGATGGGGGCCTTATCGCCGTCGTAATCACGGGAGCGGTTTTCTCAGCCGTCGGATTGGCAAGGGGCACCGATCCGACGGCTGATGTTGCGCCCACAAGATAGCCGGTGATGCAGACGTTCACTCAAAAGATACCGCCGCCTCTAGGAAATTGGTAGGTACACTCACACATGCAGGGACCACTTTGGGTTTTCCACTCCCCTGCAAGAAATGAAAGTTTTCTCTATAAGAGCAAGTTTAATAGTATAGCCCACTACTAACTCCAATTCATCTATAACCAATCTAATAGTCAATTCATATAATAGTTGCTTACTACTACCTCTGTTTCATAATGTAAGACTTTTTAGCATTGTCTGTATTCATATAGATATGTGTCTAGATTCATTAACATCTATATGAATATGAGCAATGCTAGAAAGACTTACATTATAAAACGGATGAAGTATATTATTAATATATGGTTCCACCTGTCATATACAACTGCGTCTTGGAATCCATGCTGCAGCTGGCTACAGATCTGTAGCCCGCTGGTCTTCTCTCTCATCTTTTATCTCATTAAAATATGCTTATATCTGGCTAATAGTCTGCTATTGTACCTACTCTAATACATCTCCAGTAAATATATAAAACTGTTAGAGGATGTGATCTTCTACCACGCATATGGATGCCCCTCGCCCAGAGCCCGACAAGGGTACACGTCACGCTACCGCTTGATTGACTGGGGAGCCGCCTACCACGGACCATGGTGTCTTCCCTCCTCTTCTCCCTTCCTCTCCTGAACAATCGCAGTGAGTCAGTGTGGCTGGGCTTATTGAACATTGTCGGACAATGGGCACCCCATGTCGTAGTTTGACAACTTTCGCCTAGGCCTCATCAAGGTGCCAACGAGGTGGTCAAATGTATGTAGCCGTGGTAAGACTACTCTATTGAACTCTAACGAGCACACCAGCAGCTACTACGGTCTACGGTGGAATGTTTTGGTGTAACCCCCTAGGTGTAGCTTACACGGTTGCGCGGAGGAGGCAACCTGGGTGAAGGTGTTGGAGATGACGCTAAGAGGCGATATCGGCGATGCACTTCAATAATGTGAGCTTGGTGGATGGGTTCAACGTACCGGTGGGAGGTGGCGTTGGGTTAAGAGTGGTTGATTGGCTAAAGGTAAGATGGGAAGAAATTCGAATAGTGGTGATTAGAGGGAACATTAAAATAATGAAGGGGTACAACAGTACTACGTGGTATGGTTTGAGGATTTAATTTGATAGTATCCTCTATTTCTCGAGGTGTACGTTACAGGTGTGCTCGTAAGGTTTGTGGTGTACGTACATGCAGTGTGCACGTGTGTGCATCTTTTGTATAGTAAAATAAATATGTATATCTTCATTAATTTTTGAAACTTGATAAGAAAATTTCATAAAAAAACCTAAAAATGCACTGTCAAACAGCATGGTTTTCCTTATTATTTTTTTAGGCCCATTTGAATTATAGGAATGAAAAAACAAAGGAATAAAAAAAGATTTTAATAGGAATGCAAGTGCAAAATAGAGGATTGGAAAATACAGAAAAAAACATATAAATGATCGTTTGATTGGATCACATGAAAAACATAGGAATCAGATGAGAGAGATAGACTCAAAAGGAATTTTTTTAAGAGGTTGAACCTCTTGTTAACTTTTTTCTAAAATCTCTATAGAATTATTTGTTCCACGAGAATTTTAAATGATATGATATTATTCAATCCTTTGTTTCAAAGCTTATATAAGAATTTTTCCCATATGATTGAAATCATTGCTTCTCCTCCAAAGCAAAGGGGCCCTTAACTTTTTCCTGAGTGTATCTGGATATGCGCAACGGGAAGTCAGTTAGAGCAAGACTAATAATATAGCCGACCTGTTAGCTATAAGATTTTTTGTAGCCTTCTCTTAGCCTACCCATATAGTAGATAGCTCTTTACAATTAATATAGGTCCCACTTCTCTATCTCGCAGAGTTTCTTGGGTTTTTTTTTCTAAGCCGGCTATAAGTTTACAGCTCGCTTCTTCTCTCTCCTCTCTTCTCTCTTCTCTCTTCTCTTCTCCACCTCAGCATTTAGATTTAGCTGGCTTATAGCATACTACTATTATTCTTAGTATTTGTTGCCCACCTGATCACGCGCCGCGCGGGTACTTGTGCAGTTGTGCTAGTAGTAGTACGTGGGGGAGAAACCGTTATGACCGCCGCCGCCCCCCACCCACCCACAAAAGCGTGCGCCGCCGCCGGTTTTCTCTCGCCTCACAGTTCGTCCAATCGAATCGACAGCAAGTACTACTCCTACCAGTAGCAGCAGCAGCATCAGACTGAAACTTTTCTCACAGTACTAGTCTCTCAGATCCCCCGTCAGTCACTCACTCGCCCGATCGTGCTGCCCACGCATTCATACCGTCGGCGCAGCCAGCCGACGTCGATCGATCGCCGGCGAAAACCGGCGAGCCGACCTGGCCGGCAAAGGCTGCTGCTACCGCCCGTGGTTTCGGAGGCGACCCCTGTGGCCGGATAGATGAGCACGTCGTACACCACCGGATACAGATGCCAGGAGCCAGGTTAGAGGAGTTGAGATCGACAGCGACGAGAGGGACAGGAATTCGCCAAACAGCTTCAACGCATGCACCACCGTTCGCTGAACCTGAAACTATTCAGCCTCTGTTTGGAACAGATTTTGGTACAGATTGTTAAGACAGACTCGCTCTGTTTTTAATATATAACGCCATTGTTTTTTTAAAAAAAAAGTGTTTGGCCACTTATATTATTTAAAATTTTGTGTAAATATAAAAAAAGTTCAAGTCATGCTTAAAGAACATTTGATGATTAATATAATCACAATAAAAAAATGATAATTACATTTTTTAAAAATAGAACAAATGATTAAACGTATCTTAAAAAAGTTAACGACACCATATATTAAAAAACTCCTAAATAGAAGCTATAATTGTATGAGATATTTCTTATCCAGATTGTATTACTAAAAAAAATATCCTAAATTCTTATGTTTTATGTTTTAGGATGGATGTGTTTTGGAACGGCGGTGGTACTGTATACTTAATAATGGCACGATAGATTAATTTTTTAAAATAAACTTTACTAGAACAACACGGTGGATGGATTTTTTTTTTATAAATCATATTTTTACCAACGTTGAGAAAATATTTTGTGATAAAAATCTGAAAAAAAAAAGAACATTAGACTTAGATCATGTTATGAAAGCTTTTGCAAAGCCATAGTTTCTCCCTAACGATCCGGATTCTATTACCCAGATTACGAGAAACTATACTTGTAGAATTTACAAAGCGAACTAAAAATAGCTGAGATTTCAACATATAGATTCTATGAATACGTACTTACATAATCCAAATAAAAAGAGCTATGGGACTGCTCAAAACAGTGACCAGGATTATTCGTGAACATTGTTGCGATGCATGTACTTCACAAAAACAGGGTGTAGCAACGAGAGGAAACAGGATATGGAGGCTGTCTGGATGTGTCATTTGTCAAGCAAAGGGGGATGCAATGTACATGGGCATGCATTCTTGCAAGCAGACACAGCTGCAACTTGCACTTGGTGTGTACTATGACAAACAGAGATGAGACAACCATCTATACACTTGTGAGTTACTCTCCTCTCCTTCATTATCAAAAGAACAGGCTAATTAATTAATCAAGCTTTGCAGCTACAGTAGTCTACCACTACCATGTGGGACCCCAACCCATCATCTTTGTGAACTCTGAAGAATGCATGCCACTGCTCCAAAATCCAATGCCCTCATGTTCAATTTACCAGATAGACCAGCGAATTCATCAGCAAAGAAGGAAACGAAGCTTAGAAAAACTGCCGGTGCAGATGCTTCTGCTGCATGCCTTTTGCGGCCGTTCGTGTGTTGCGCACTGCTGCACCGGTCATGGCGATTGATTGACTTGATTGATTTAGCCGGCGAAGTGCTTCTGCTTGCTCGCCGAGCAGGTGCAGCTGGAACGGCTGTCGTTTAACACCTTCAGATGAATCAAGAACAAGAACACCGTCAGCAACTTGGATGATACAGTATTACAGTATTTGATTGATTATGTCTCAGTCTCAGACAAGACTAGCTAGCTGGTTAGTTATGTATGGTTACTGATCGAACTGCAAACCTCATCCTCATGTGAGCATCTAAAAAGTGTTCAATAGAAAAAGAACATGCCATTTTTTTAATTAACTAGAGTAACTAGGAGATCGATGCAATCTGGATGTGCCCAGCTAGCCACTACTACTACTCCTACTAGCTAATTACAGTTACCCCTGCCCTCATCTGGAGGGTAACAACTTGATCTAAACATCACCTATATATCCCGGGACAATTAGGCAAGTCGCAGTTCTGAATTTTGATCAAACAAAATTGGGAGTTTCAGACTCATATATGTTACCTTGACCTGCTTCTGGAGCTCCTTGATGTAGTCCACGGCAAGATCCAACATGTCAGCAGTGTTGGTTTGCTGCAAGTAAAACCAAAACCCAAATTCACAAACGGTCAGCTCATCAGCTAGTACTAGTAGTAGTAGCTCACACTGGAGTACAGTGTTAGTAATTTTTTTTCACAGCGGATCAGAGTCGTGGTCCTTCCATGGCAGCAGCAGCAGCCAAAATGAACCCAAACAGGGGAAAAAACCAATCATGGAGTATAGCACACAAGGTGTTCGACCGATGGGATCCCCCTCACCTTTTCCATGTTGGGGACGAGCTCCTGCAGCTTCCGTATCCGCTCGCTGATCCGCGTCCTCCTCACCTGCAAGCGGGAGACGATTTTCAGCTCAGGAATCGAAGGAAATGGATCGCGTGCCACGCCACGCCACGCCACGCCACGCCATGCCATGGCGTGCGCGTGGCGGCGAGAGGTGTGCGCGTGTGTAAGGTACGGTACTGACCCGCTCGGCGATGCTGCGGGGGTGGGTGGCGCAGCCGCGCTTGGCGCGGATCTTGCAGGGGACGGCGTCCTGGAACTGGAGGAACTTCTCGATGGCGGCCATCTCCGGCGACGCGGCGGCGGAGGCGGAGGAGGGGGGCTTGCTGCTGTTCTTGGACGCCGCCGGGAGGCTGAGCTGCCGCGGCAGGTCGTCGCGGGGGCGCTTGGACGGGAGGCTGCTGTCCGGGAGGAGCGACGTCGCCGGCGGCGAGGGCTCCTCCCAGGCGGAGGACCCCATCGCGTACCCGCCGCCGTAGCCGCCGCGTGCGGCGCCACCGCCGTTGCTGCCAGCCTCCGGGCTGCCGCCGCCGCCGGCGAGCTCCTCGTCCTCGCTGCCCATCTCCGAGATCTGGGACATCACCGACCCCTGCCGCGACGAGAAGCTGAGCTGCCCCTTGAGCCGCGGGTCGCCGCCACCGCCGCCGCCGCCCATGCCCGCTCTTAGCATATTCCCGTATCCTATAATTGGTAAGGATATTAATGGCGCCTCTCGAATTCCAGAAATGGAAAGGCTAGCAGCCACCTCATGATTGCTACTACTTCTTGCAAGATCAAGGTGGAGTGGAGAGGGAGGTGCACCAACCGTTGTCCATGGTAAGATGGTTGAGGAAGCCGGCGGGGGAGCTGCTCTGCCGGAGGAGGCTGTTGCCGGCGGCGGCGGCGGTGGACTCCGTGCCGCCGGAGCTGACGGTGCGGTAGAGTCCCTCCATGGCGGAAGCCATCTGCTGCTGCTGCTGATGCGACTGGTACATGAGCTGCTGCTGATGCGAGGCCATGGAGTCTTCCGGTGGGGCGAAGTGGGCGGCGGGGCGGGGAGGCTTGTTGTCGTGGCCGCCATGGCCGGCGAGGAAGCGCGCGAGGACGGTGTCCGCGGCGTGGTCCGGGCTCCCAGGCCGCTGCTGCTGCAGCTGCAGCTGCAGCTGCCCACCACCACCACCACCACCGGGGAGGACGAAGTCGCCGCAGACCTCCCCGAGCAGCGTGCTCGGCGCTGACCTGTACCGCAGCAAGCCCGGCGAGCTCATCTGCGGCGGCGTCCGCACCCCGGCTGGCTGCAGGCTCAGGTCCTTGGACACCGGCGCGCCGTACATCACCCACCCCCACCCACCCCACTGATCTCTCCACACACCAAACCAGCAACTCAGCTCAAGCTCAAGCTACGATCGAGACGAGGGCTCGTGATTCCGCTACGAAATTTCTTGTGGATGTGGAGAAGAGAGGAGAGGAGAGGATTTAATAATGGCGAGAGGTAGGGAGGAGGTGATTGGGGAGGAAGATGTGGGAGTGAGAGCGGAGAGGGGTATTTATAGCGGTGGAAGTTACTGGAAGCAAGGGGAGGGGATCGAGGCGTGCGTGCCCTCGTGGCCGGGTCAGCTCGTCGTCGTCGACGACGACGACGACGGCGACGTCGGCGGCGGCTGCGGCTGCTGCTGCTAGCTTTTGCCTTAGCTACAGCCACCGGCCTACTTCACTGCTTTACTACTACACCTCTTGTGGAATGTGGATTATTAACACTAACACCCCAAAATTCGATCGTTCTTATTCTAAAAAAAAATCGATCGTTCTTTTTTTTCTCTCCTAATTACTCACTTAAAAGACGCATGCACCCTCAGTGCAAGCCTGTAACACACGTTTGAAGAAAGGACGAAATACATGTAAACTATCCTTTTGCATAGAATGATTTTCTGATATTACATGGTTCACGCAAACGCACACACAATACTAACCATGCAACATCACAATCACACTCACACCCCTGTGAATATGTTCCAATATACATACTCTAAAGAACGGAAACCAGTGGCACATATAATGATTTAAAGATTAAATAGCTGAATTATTTATGATAATTATTCGAGAGTACACGTGAGTAAATTAAAGTTAAAATTTTGATTTAAAATAGTTTTTTTAAAGAAATTTATGTAAATAAAGTTGTACAGACATATATTTGCAACATTTCTCTTTTTTTATCTGTTTCATTTCTACTCCAATTTTAATGTAAAAAAAATACAGAGGGAGCACAACACAAGAGCAGAGTGGATTCGGCCCAACGACATTTTCACCGATCCGGCCCAGCAAGGTTGAATACGTGGACCCACCGTAGCCACGACCTCTCATGTCAAAAATACTACCTTTTTTTATTAAAAAAAGTCCTAAATATGGTAAAGGGAGAAGATGCAAGAAATGGGGAAAAGGCAAAAATAAAATCACGTTAACGAGGGGTGCACATGTGTGCAGGCAAAGATACAGTGCTGTTGCCTGCTTGTAGCAGCTGCACCTCGCTGCACTGACTGACACCTTACAAAAAATTGCATACTTAATTAAGATTTTTTAAGAGCCCAAAGTGACAACATAGTGTTTACCATTTGTTTAATTATTCAGTTAAGTCACTGTCAAGCTATGCTGTGCATCCACTCTTCAGTTCAGCATATGCTCAATCACCACTGGTCAATGGAAAGCATGCTACTTTCCAGTTTCCACAAGAGGGGGGAAATATTTTTTCCCTCATTTTACTAACATTTTGTCTTGAGAGAATGGATGTTCATAAGTTTGAGCAAACAAAATGGCCAATGTGAGAGCAGCAATATCTGCAGGACATGACAGAAGCAATACTGAATTTATACTACTGATGATGCAGTGGAGACCATCAGCCCATCACAAGCTGTTTCCTGGGGATACTTTTGTCTTGATATTAGGTCCATATTTGGCTGCCGTACTCCTCGTTGCTTTGGAAGAGCATATGAAGTTCACAGCAATTTCGTGTGGATTTTCAAGAATATCTGTGGGGCTTAAGGTAATTAAGATTATTTTCTTTATTGGATGATTGATATATTTTGGACAATTTGTTTATAGTGATGAATTATATATATATATATATATATATATATATATATATATATATATATATCATGAACAAATTGTCTAAGCAAATATTGATGTAGAGAGTTTTATTAAAAAAATAGTTTGAGAACAGTGGTACGCATATTTTCATTTACATAGCCTGGAAAGAACTGGTTCTAAGCAAACTAAGACTAGAGTAGTACTAGTACTTGTTTAGAGATGCTGTCATCTTATCAAGGGCGACTTGGATGTACTTGTAGCCTCATTAATTCTTAATCCATAACAATCTTGGTCCTACCCTGTACTACAAAAGAGGCTGGATCTGGCTTAACTAAATAGTATATTGATCATAATGAGTTGATGACACTGCAATCAAGTAATCAACTACTCCTGCCCTGCTGCCATCTCCCTCGGTGCGATTAATCAAACTCTTCTCCCCATTTGATTCCATCTGAAGGAATCAAAGGAAAATGCCATCCTTTTCACCCAACTCACAAGATCTTGTGAACCATGTGGCTCCACATGTGTCTCCAATGCTAAATGTTCTATCCCTCTCTCTCTCTTAATCTCTCTATAACCAATCTTCTCTCCTACTTTGTGCTAAGCTTGTGTTTTACTGTTCCATTATCCATGCAGAAATGAGAGGCAGGAAAAAGGTGAGCAAGGAAAAAAGAAAGGCAGGCAGTGTGGCTCCCTCTGCTTTTGTTGGTGAGCCAACAAGAGACAAAAACATGGCCACACTTTGGAGAGTTTGGGAGGGTGGTCTCTCACGGCATAAAGTCCTAAAAAAGGAGGGAATAGGAGGTGATACGGTTGGGTTTGACACCGGCTGGGCAGCCAAGAAGCAGCCACTAGTCCTCCCAGACCTGGCCAGGAGGGTCTTCATCAAGAGGTTGACCCTGCCACTTGGATGATGACACAATCAGTTCCAACATTTCGTTCATAGTTGATTATAAACTAAAATGCTTATTAGACATATAAATTAATTATAGGTAAAACTTTTATATATGTGGGTTCTTCACGATCTAAAAGCAAACGCTGAAAAAAATTATGATAACAAAATATAAAAAGACAACTTAAAATATAAATTTTGATTGGGACGGATAAGTAAAAACAAACATTAGGGATAGATAATAATAGGACATAATGCTACACTAGTATTTCTTATGCAGTTTTATACAGAGTTAGATTTTAAAAGTAGAAATAGATTTGATGCGTAACCCTTACTCTCTTTATATACACAATTTATTTTCTATACAACATTATTGATCAACCTACATCATTACTAGATTTACCACGGCCAACGTGTGTATGTCTCTCTGATTTTTGTCAAGTAACATATGATGTTTTTATGCTTCTATAGTGAAAATGGGGGCTCTTTTTAGCGTGCTCTCTCTCTCTCTCTCTCTCTCCATAGTACATCATATATTGTGACTTGATTCCTGTTCTCTTTTTTTTTAAGTCGGTGATTATTCCCATCCGTCTTGGCATATAAAACCTGGCGTGTTAACACACTCCCATGTAGCAAGTGTCAGCAGCATGTGTTTTTGAGATATGTCAAATATGAATGGAATAGGTTCAATTTGGCATGCAAGATAAGGTAATATGCATGTTTGAAGTCGGTATATGTTCATCCTATATTATACAGCCTGTTTTGGAAAAAGTTGCCATGTTTATTTTTAGTTCGCTGTAGATCGTATACTTTTTTACTCTGTTTCCACTTTCTTGAAGGATTTTTTTTTAGATGCACTTTCTTGTAGCAGTTAGAAAGCTTCATGTAAATTTTACATAGGTAGAAATTGTATTCGGATGTTGCCAAGCTAAGATCGAAGACCCTTGTATCATCCATGAACTAACGTTGACATGTTTGTTTGTTCGATAAACCCAATCTTCAAAGGTGCTCATAAGGATATGGAAAGATGTATTCAAGGGTAAGAGCGCTCGCGTATATATGAATGCCCGCACTTGTAATATATTTAGAAAATGTATTATTATGGGCATGTACTAAACAATAATTCTCTTTATGAATCTATTCTCGAGAATAGGCGTATCAAGAATCGTGTGCTCTAATATTGATAAAGTGATGAACCATATCCGAGGATGCTATTCCTCGAGAATCCAACGGCAGTAAAAGGTCCCCCAATGCATGGAGTCATGGAGTGTATGTGCGTTTGTACATAAAATGGCATAATTATCGTGATAAGGATCTCTTGATGGCATAAGGTATCTTTGATCAAACGAGAACGACCTCACCATGGATGAATGGATGAAGGTGTTGCAAGCAAGAAAAATCTTCTGAAGTTATCTGCAAGAACAGTGGATAATACCAATATACCATCTGCAGATTAGTGCCAAAGGATTTGTGAAATGTATGTGTCGCCATGAGCGCTTCATGATCTTCACGAGAACTTGGCCGTTTCTGGAACCTAATGTTCCCATTATTCCTACCGGTGGAAATTCCTCAATAATGCTCACATTTTGTTCGAATATACAGAAGGATCTATGCATTATTATCTGAAGCAGTCTATACCATTTATGTACTAATGTTCTGTGATATATTCCCCTGAGAATAATCTCCTGAATCCTGACAGCAATTGCAAATTTTTATGTCTTAGAAAGGTCCAAAGGAAGGTACTCTCAGCAGCCAATTACCAAAGTGATCGTGGTGCAGGAACACTATTCCTCTCGGTAGCTAAAATCACGTCACATTATTCTTTCATTGGGATAAGCTTCACATTATTGGCACCTTTGGTCAGGGCGTATCACTACAGGAGCATGAAAGGATGAAAAGACAAAGATAACGGAATTATGTGTAAAGGTTGCATGGATATTTATTTTGCAAAAGGAATTCAATTAGTTAGTGTGGTGGTCTCAATATTTTGCTGTCCAAATAATAATATTTTCACAACCCGGTATCAGATTCTAACACCCACCTTAGATAATACTCCCTTCGCTCCATAATGGATGTTCTAGTTTTGTTCTAAGTCAAACTTATCTAATTTTAATTAACTTTATAATAAAACATAACAACATTTTCAGTACTAAATTAGTTTTATTAAATCAACATTTTAATATATATTTTTAAAAGACATATGTTTCGTGTTGGAAATGTTGCTATTTTTTTTCTATAAACTTTGTCATACTTGAAGTTTGACTTTGGACAAACCAAAACATTTTACATTATGGAACAGTGGGAGTATAATCTTTTTTTTTACACTCAAATAACCATTTTTTCTCTCTTAATTACTTGGACGCTAGTGCATGGCTCTTGCACAAATTTAGTTAGGTGAAAGCCCTCTACTTCTTTGGGGGACAGGGAGGACTCCAATCTGATCTCTGATCTGAACTGAATGCCCACATAAACACATGAGAGTTAGACAACCAGCCCAGACCTGAGTAGCAGATGCCAAGTCCAGTTTTTATTGGCCTTTCAATGCACAAGAGGTGGTAGCTGCCCACGTAACTGCAGGGCCCCCGTACTGCATAGATGTGAGGGAAGTGAAGCCGGAGCCGTACGGGGAAACACCGGCCCGGGCAGGCAAGCATGGCGCAAGATTGAGATCGCCAGCCAGCGCTAAGCTTCCCTCCCGGTTGACACAACAGCATGAGGCTATAGGATCTAGCATTCTAGCACCAGTGCAAGCCAACCACCACCACCACCACGACGACGACGACCGCGGCTCAGGTGGGTAGGCCGGTGGCCGGATACCTCACAGCCTTGACCAAAGACGGCGTCGCCTTGTGGCCACCGGCCGGCTCACGCGGCAGAGAGGTTTGCAGGGTAAGCAAACTCAAGCTGCTTGCAGCCAGCCAGGGTGCATACATGCAAGTTTCTTTTTGACATGTACTACAAGGGAGGCTAGTGCAACCAAAATAGAAGAAGAGATGGATTCAGCGGTTGGAACTTGGAACATCGCAGCATTTTAAATTTGTTGAGGGTAGATTCTGGTTACATTTGGACAGCAAGCGTACTGGGAAAAGAAAGGGAAACAAAGGTTGGTTCAAAACTTACTGTTTGGAATCTGAGCTCCAAATGTTACAGCCTTGACCTTGGACCACCCTTTCCTGGTATCTGTAGAGCGTCATAATGGCCAAAACCATGAAAAAGAACTTGAATTGGATCTTCTTTCCCGTACTCCTGACCATATTCTGCAATTGCTATTAAACCACCAGCTTCCTTATCATGCATGTACACAGTAATTGGCATCCTGGCCACATTGGTAACGGCATATTAGAGCTTTTGTTACTTCCCGTTTTCAGAAGGACAATACAACAAGACTACACATATATGAAACTATCCACTATTGCTGTTGAGCTACATTAATAAACTTTGGTCAAAGCCTAACAAAATGGAATATTAATGACTTTTGGGAGTTGTGTTTTGAAAAAAAAAAAGGAAGATCCCCGCAAAAAAAAAAGGAAGATGCTTAACAGTCATAACATGACAAAAAAAAACAAACAAACAAGACAGTATAAGTGGACAAACTTATCCCAGGAATCCTAAAATGGATTAAAAGCAAACCAACTAACCATCAACCCTATATAAATATGACCAAGAGGGCATAAGTATTCTAACAGGTTACTGCACAAATGTATACTGCATTTGAAATGGTGAGAGTAAAATAACTCCAAACATCATGGCTAATTCTCACCGAAGAACATGCGAAGCCATTAACAGTTCTGGTTCACCTCCCCACACATGTGGCTTCCTAATCCGAGAGACATATGCATCGAAGTCCCCCTCAACAAACCTGTGAATTAATGTCATAGCGAAGCATAAGAATGCGTAACTCAACAATATTTAGATGCAGAGTAACTAACAGAATAATGAGGACAGGTAGAACTAACCATTCAGTCTCTGCCCGTCTCTTGATAAATTCATCGGCGACCTAACAGTGACACCATTTAAATAGATCTTTTACATGATAAATTCACCAGAAATGGTTGCGTTGCTTCCAGAGCAACATTTAGTATCTAAGAACAGAATGGATCAACAGTAGTACATCAGCAGAACATTACAAGCATACCATTGCTCTTAAGTCATCAGCCATCTTTCTCTGGAGATCATCATCAGGTCGCTTACCTGACCTAATACATGCACCATGAGCCACAGATCGGAACAAGCACCTTCCATCTCCAGGAATGCCTGAGGGTTACCATGTGAATCAAACACAAGTGAGCAGACGATGCATGCTTTAACCAAATGCATATTGTATAGTAATTAGAAAAACACGCACACTGTCTCACCAGTAACAGAATAATCCGTGCAAACTTTTTTCCCATGAGCATAACTAGTGGACGATTCAGTAGTTTGGGGGCTATCAGTATTATTGTCCACAGGACCCTCAGCATTTGCCTTCGCAGGAACTGCAAAACTTAGGAAAAGTCCAGTGCCTGTAGCTCCAACTTTGTGTCCTATGCTTCTTGAATCCCAGAGAATACTATACAACTTCTGACGTGAGGGCTCATCAAGCTTTAGCTTTAGAATATTATCCCTCGCAGGTTGTCTGCCACACAACTGTTTCCCCGAACTGGCAAAACATGTTCGCAGTGATTTTATGTTCATCTTAGGAGGCAAACCAACTAATCTGATCTTTACATGATAACCGACTGCTTGTGAACGAGAATACTTCCATAATGCCATGCCCTGTGTCAGCCCTCCTTGTAACTGACAAGACTGAGAATACAAGCTATAAGTACAGCGTTGTAAACAGACAGTAGGTGTGTAGATAGCCATCTGCTTCAGGCAGCACCGCGCCACCAAGTATAAGCTGAAAAACATGTTTCGATGACCAAAATTAAGAATTAGTGGAACATGAGATAATTCTTACGAAAATCAAATAAAGCAAGCCACCACCACAATGAAGTAGAAGATCCACCATGACACAACGGACCTATGATAGATATGATTGATGTCAACATTAGTATCAATTGAAGAGGATTAAATTATTTTTCAGCACAAAAAATAGTTTCATCGTTGACATATCCAGGAAATAAATGTGTGGCAGATAGTTATTAGTGAGCATAAAAGACTGAATGTCTCCAACCTCTAGCAATCGACCACTTTCTGCTGAGATTCGACAAAACAATGGGAAGGATGGGCATGCTAAATCATAAGCGCACACTTGCTAGAACAAAAGCAATTTGTCCTCCTTTTCTTTGTCACACTTGCGTAGAGAATCCATATTATCCTCGTGAACTTCTCAGGATGTGCTACAGGGAGAAATTGCCCTCCCAAATCCCGAGCATTCGAGGGCATGGGCAGCAGCGAATCACTAGAAAACTATTCTCATTAAGATTATTTAAGTTCCTGTCTTGGCCGCGAAGCCGAGATTTCGTGCTACCAGGCCATTCCCATGCCCGAATTCACAAGACTACAACCCTAAGCTGGTGGAAAATAATGCATTATATGCACAATTGAATTCAGCAAGTGCCAATGCACCCAAACCATTCCCCTCACCCGGGAGAGCAGATAAATTGGAAGATAGTAGTAACTCAAATTAGTCACAAATTGCAGAGGATAATGAAGTAAAATCCGCACCTTAGCCTTCGGACTGTCCGAAGCGAGCGGAGCCGAGGAGAGACGCCTGCAAGAATGGAGCTGACGAAAGCGGAGGTTATTGGGGACGGGAGCGTGAGCCGAAGAGGAAGGGATAGTGGTGGCGGGAGAGGCTTTAGACCTCCGTTCCCGCGAGGGGATTCGCCGGTGCACGCCGCCGCCGCCGCCGGCGCAGAGTCAGTCACGGCCACTGGCGCGCCGCCGCCGCACGCGAGGAGGAAGACGATGAGACGACGCCTAATCGATATCCACCGCGCATGGTAGATCGGACGGTTCAGGTGGACCCTTCGGATATGGTAGCGATCCTATTCCGAGGAGGCCCACACGGAGGCCCAGCTTTGTTTGGTCTTTGGTGGCCCGAGAAGAGAAGAGGCTCGATTTTGTTCGGCGGGGGAAAAGTCTAATGTGAGTTCTCATATAGGAGTACATTTCAAGTGCAAAACTTGGTATATCTAGTTATCTACCACTTTAATTATTAAAATATTTTAAAATAACCCCCTTGACTGTTTTGAGGATAGTTTTCAGTGATTTGGCATCTAATGGCAGTCTAGTCATAAGATGAACCAAAAATAGATAGAGGATTCAAGTGTAAGTGGTACAAAAGAAAGTAAACAACTGTGGTGCCCACTTGTCATAGCCCACTCTTATTCTTCTCTTTCTTCTTTCTTTTGCAGATAGCAGCAGGAACCCGACAAGCGGTGGAGACGAGGCTGATGAGCCCAGCACTGATGCCATCTCCCTCACTTCCACACCCTTCCTCTCTGCCTCATGGAGGGCCACCGCTTGCCTACCTCCTCTTCGTGTAGCTACCTCTACCTCCTCCGTTTATCATCCCTCTTCTCCATAACGGCAGTGGCGGGGCGGCAAGGTGGGAAGTCAGAGTCGATGTAGGATTCCCCAAGCTCTGCCACCCTTGCTGTTTTGGCCTCACCGGCCACCGCTTGTTGTCCACCCAGAGCTCCACACCCCATCTCCCTCAACACCGATGGTGATGCTTAGGGTATCGATGGGGAGGGGATGAGGTCCTCCAACCTTGCCGCTTCCAGGGCTCCGTCGTCTCTCCGGGTAGGGCTCTTACGAGGATGCGATGGCGACAATAAGGGATCGATAAGGGCGCCGACGATAAATTTTTATACTGCAACATGCTCGCCTGCTCCATCGAGATGGCCTCTTGAATGTACCTTAACGTCATCTACCTCCTTACCGGCATCGAGCGTCTGCTCCGAAAGCACCTCGACATCTGCAAGCATCTCAAGATTACCAACCACCGATCCCGCAAGTTGGGGAAAGAAAAAGGGGAGAAAGAAAGAGAGGATTGTTGATGAGGAGGGCAGAATCTCCAATTTATGAGGATTGTGCTACAGGGAAGCTATTCACTCTTTTATTATAAGCATGTTTTCCCATATTGCTAAATGGTATTTTTTTTTCAAAACCATCTATATCGACATTTTTTAAAAATAAATCAATTTTTCAAGTTTATAATATCACCAATTGTGTTTTCTGTCTCGGTGAGTTGCTACTACAGAAACTCATACCATTCAAAGCACGGATGACTGGTCATTTCACCCACAACTAGGGCTCCATATCAAGCCAGTTCAGCTCGGCTCGTTATCCTACGAGCCAAAAGCCTCGCTCAGTTCGAACCAACATCATTTCAAAGTTACAAATGTTTGCATACAATATAAGTATTAAATCATCACAAATTTAGCAAATGCACCATTAATTTCATACTTTCATATAATCATCTAAAGTCAGTCTAAATATTTAGGCCTATGACCAAGTGGAGTGGTGTGACAATGAGTGGATGGGGGATGAGTTAAGTTGAGATTTACGAGTAGGTTAAACTTTAGTTTTGACTTGTTAACAAACCCAAACAAGCCGAGCTGTGCGAGCTAAAGTGCCATCATCCTTTTTTCCAGCCCTATCCACGACCCATCCAACCTGTGCAACCTTGGCACCGCATTCTCTGATGTTAGAAAAACTATGTTAGAGGGCAGTGGTGTATCAATTCATTGTCCTCCGAGTATGGAATGCTCCAAAAAAAAAAGCCAATGATGCCATCGCTCGCAGTCACTATCATGTTCGCTAGCGTGCGAGCAAGGACAACATTGGATTTTTCTTGGGAGCGTTCCATATTTGAGAAACGGTCGATCGATGGGCTACTGACGTACTCTCTCTGTTTTTTTTAAAAAAGACAACCTCTGTATCCAGATTCGTTGTAATATGTTGTCTTTTTTTAGAATGAAGGGAGTAGTTTTCCCAACTTCAGAGGATCTGGTTCCGTGCAACCTCGTGCCACAACTCTCAAACTTGTACAGGCAACCAAGAACACCTGTGATCTACATTTTGAGATCAGGTAGTATGATTGATCCATGAATCCCATTATCCATCATCCTCGAGTGAGAGTCCAGCACGAAAGCTGCAGCTACCACTCCAGCTTATCCATCTCATCATCCATTCCCCTCGCAACGAACTCCCTGCCTCTCGCTCCGATCGTCCGCGCCACGGCGGCGACACGATGAAACCCCGATCCAACTGACAAAATTCCCAAGCGAATCCTGTGCAGCTCGAGTAGAAGAGAAGAGAGAGTGCTTCTTGGCGAGCGAGTCAACGTCACAATGGCGTCCCCGCTGCTGCTGCTGCTTCCGCTCGCCGTCTCGTCCCTTCTGCTGCCGTTCGCGGCGGCCGCGCGCGTCTTCTCCGTCGCGGACTACGGCGCGGCGGGCGACGGCGCGCGGTACGACACGGGGGCCATCCAGGCGGCCGTCGACGCGTGCGCGGCGGCGGGGGGCGGGCGCGTCCTCCTCCCGGCGCCGGGGGACTACCTGACGGCGACCGTCCACCTCCGCTCGCGGGTGGTGCTCGACGTCGCCCCCGGGGCGCGGCTGCTGGGCGGGACCAGGCAGGCGGACTACCCTCCCGAGTCCCGCCGCTGGTACGTCGTCCTCGCCGAGAACACCACCGGCGCCGGGGTCACCGGCGGCGGCGAGATCAACGGCCAGGGCGGGGCATTCGTGGTCACCCCCAACCCGCAGAAGAACATCATGGTGAGCTGGAACGCCACCGGCGACTGCGAGGGCGACGAGTGCCGCCCGCGGCTCGTCGGATTCATCGACTCCAAGGACGTCACGATCCACGACATCACCCTCAACCAGCCTGCCTACTGGTGGTGAGCATTTCTTGATACCTCAAATCCATTGCTCAATTCGTAGTAGAACAGCCAAAACATGACAACATTTCCCTTGTCATTTCATCCTAAAGATGATAAATCCGGCTAATTTGTACTCCACTGCCCTAGATATCATCTGATTAGCAAAAATTACACAGCATTTGTGTAGTGATGAGGTATTCAGGGAAAGTTAACAGGCTATATGCACTTGCATTCCCTGCAGTCTGCATATTGTCAGGTGTGACAATACAATGATCCACAATGTGTCGATATATGGGGATTTTGACACTCCCAACAACGACGGCATCGACATTGAGGATTCAAACAACACGGCCATCACTCATTGCCACATAGACACCGGAGACGATGCGATATGCCCCAAATCAACCACAGGTCCTGTTTACAACTTGACGGCAACAAACTGCTGGATACGGACTAAATCTTGCGCTATCAAGTTTGGCAGCGCTAGCTTCTTTGACTTCAAGAAGCTGGTATTTGACAACATTACAATAGTTGATTCACATAGAGGACTTGGGATGCAGATTAGAGATGGAGGTACTGACCTGTACTTGCTGTTGTGTGTATTGCCATTCTGTGATATTAGGTAGTACTTACTATTTTCTCTAGCAAGCTATAAGATTTCCGCAGCAATTAAAATATATTAGATTGTTTTCACGGACATTTTTTTAGGAAAACTGAACCTTATGCTGCATTTGTACCCCGTGTTTATATAGAATTTATAAATTGCTTTAGCACCATGAAATTTTTATACAGCAGCGAACCTATCCTGTATGCTGAAATATTTCTATTGTGAATTTTCATCAAGTAAAAACTGCACCATTAAGGTCTTTGGTCTAGAAATGAGATTTGCTTTAAGCCTCTTCTAAACTGGAGTTTTCATTCCTGCAGGAAATGTGAGCGATGTGGTGTTCTCAAACATCAAAATGAGCACCAGGTACTACCATCCTTTATGGTGGGGGAGAGCTGAACCGATCTACATCACCACATGTCCAAGGCACCCAGATTCCAAAGAAGGCACCATTTCAGACATTCAGTTCATCAACATCTCATCGGTATCAGAAAACGGAGTATTCTTGGCTGGATCGAAGCACGGGCTGCTTCGCAACCTGAAGTTCAAGAATGTCGACCTAACCTACAAGAGATGGACAAACTACTCGGGAGGGCTGTATGATTACAGGCCTGGATGCCAAAAGATGGTGAAGCACCGAACCGGTGGTATGATGCTGGAGCACATCTCTGGCCTTGAGATCGACAATGTGAGGATGAGATGGTCAAGAGGAAGCCTCAAAGGCTGGGATGTTGATCCTCTCCTCTTCCAGCCATCGACAGTCGACAAGCTGTCATTCCATGACTGGCAATCGCTGGCTGTCAGTAGGTAATGGAAGAGCAAGCCTACTGAACATCACATTTGTACAAGTATCTGTATCACAATCTGAGTGGTGATTCTTTTCTGAAACGTGTAAATAAAGATCACATGAAAGGCAATGGTCTTACCATGTTGATAATCATCGCTTGAATGGCATAAGGTTCTTACCAGTCAATAAAAATCCTCAAGTCCCAACTCCCTGTAAGCTTCAGCGAATGGGCGAGAATGGCTGCTGAATTGATTTCTGAGTACTGAACTGACTGAATCAGATACAATCAAATTCAATCTCAATTGTCTATAATAAACCTATGCTGTCATTCTGATCTGGATTTCGAATTTTAATGTTCTTGTCTGTTCATATTTCTGTTCCAACTTCTTGTTTGCCTGTTACCTTGCTTACTCCATAAAGCGATGTTGAGTTCAGTGAGTCAGCTGCGCTGTGCATTCTCCATGGTAAGCGCAAACACATCAAGTTTTTTTTGAAAAAAAAACACATCAAGTTCCATGGAGTTTCGTCATTTTAGTTCCAGATCTTGGTCCCGCTGAACTGCAAATTTTCCCAAGAAAATAAAAAATTTCTCCATAGCTGCTGTCAGGATGTCAAAATTTTCAAAAATCCTTCGTTCCAAACAGTTCAAATTTTCTGGAATTAGGAGATAACTACTAATTCCAACCTTGCATACAAAAAAGATCTCATTTTTTCGCTTATACTTATGCTTATGCGAACTGCTTATTATAGCAATTTAAAAATAATTTGTTAGTAAATTTTATGTACGTGTTCTTCATAAGAAAATGTTGTAAAATAAACTACGATGAAAAAAAACCACAAAATCAACTCTAAAATAAAGTTCTAAAAATTAAAATTTACTTCCTCCGTTTCACAATGTAAGACTTTCTAGCATTATCCAAATTAATATGGATGTTAATAAATCTAGGCATATATACAAAATATATACTCTCTCATTCCCTAAATGTTTGACACCGTTGACTTTTTTTTAAACATGTTTGACCATTCATCTTATTCAAAAATGTTTATGAAATGTGTAAAACTATATGTATACATAAAAGTATATTTAACGATAAATCAAATGATAGGAAAAGAATTAATAATTACTTAATTTTTTTTGAATAAGACGAATGGTTAAACATTTTTAAAGAAGTCAACGGCGTCAAATATTTTAGGATGGAGGGAGTACATTAATCAATGAATCAATCTAGATAAGACCAAAAAAGTCTTATAATATGGAACGGAGGGAGTAGCTTATAAGCGTAAACCCAAGCGAAACATTGGGAGCTTCAAAATCGAGAAGAAGAGTCCAAACCTCCAAATCCGGCCCATAATGATTATTAACCCGACCTTTTCAGCCCGGCCCAATGTACTTGACCAAAGCCCAGCCCATTTTGCAACTCCTCACCTCTGCATTGTCTCCGCGTAGCTGAGCAACTCTTCCCCTTTCTCCCCCAAATCGGCGGCGACCTCTCTCCGATCTCCACCACCACCACCACCACGCGGGCGCGCGCACCAACCGGGGGGGCTTCGATGCGGGCGATCTCGTCGGCAGCGGGGGGGATGCTGCGGGCGCGGCTGCGCGGCGGGGCGCGCGTCCGCGGCGGCGGCGGGCACGGGGAGGGGGGCGGGCGGTGGACGACCCCGGGGCACGAGGAGCAGCCCAAGGGCTACCTATTCAACCGGCCGCCGCCGCCGGCGGGGGAGTCGCGGAAGTGGGAGGACTGGGAGTTGCCCTGCTACGTCACCTCGTTCCTCACCGTCGTCATCCTCGGCGTCGGGCTCAACGCCAAGCCCGACCTCACCCTCGAGACCTGGGCGCACCAGAAGGCGCTCGAGCGCCTCCAGCAGCAGGAGCTGGCCTCCGGGGAGGCCCAGGCCGAGTGATCTGCGCGCCTCAGGTCACCTCGAACCCTAGAATACTGCATCTGTTTTACTCCCAATAAGATGTTTGAGATGTGCGGGATGAACACTGTGCTCTTGTTTCTGTTTTTGTTCTGTTTCCTCGTGGAATTTGTCCAATGATGGCGAATGCCCTGAACATTTTGAAATGCTTTGTAATTCTATTATTTTCTCTTCCTTTAGTTGTGCTGCTCTGAGAGTTTTCGTGAATTTCACCCGTTCCCAACTAACTCAGTTGCAGATCGCATGTTGGGGTTAGGTTGAGCAAATAGTTGAACGTTGCTTAAGCATTATCTTATTCTTGATGAATGCTGAATCCAAACTCTAAACACGAATAACTATCCCTCTTACCAAATATGTTGAGCATCATCGTGATGAATGCTGAAGCCAAACCCTAAACACGAATAGCTACTCCTCTTGCCAAATATGATGACTGTTACCTTGTTGCTAAACTGATCATGGCGCGGTTAAGCTATCTGAAAATAACTTAGAAATATGCCACAATGAATGATTTCGTACTGTAGCACCGGTGGCTGTTATTTGTTTATCTCCTGTTTATGGTGCTTAAATTTCTCTCAAGTTCATTTGATGCCAAGTTGCCAACTAATCTATCAATTTATTGAACATATCCGTTTGCATACTATCACTTCACATGAAACATGTGTATATCAACGACATGCACTATAATATCATTAGTTTTTAAAGGACACACTTTCACCATCGCCTGGTGAACCATGAAAGCATATCACATATTAAGGTCAGATAGCATGATATCGAGGGTCCTTAGCTACTACCATAGACCATGACCATAGTGCTTTGTTTTTGTTTTCCATTTTCTTGGCATCTTGCTAAACACAACAATTGTAAACACGCATACAGAGAAATATAAGGGTTCCTTTGAGTAGGAAGATTTACATTGTCAATACTTCATTTGCCTAAAACTAACAATGAGGTTAGGGAAGACAAGAAAATATTTTTTTTTTCAATTTTGAATATTTTAGCTGATCAGATTTGTTATCATGATGAATAATGCCCATGAAAATAAGGTCCGCTATCCCAGCAAGGCTTCTGCTGTTTGAATGTTTTTCATGTATACATAACCAATATGGAGCTGACGATTCTTCAATGTCAAGTTCCAACCTTGTTCTTGCATGTTGTACGAGTTGTAGAGTTCTTCTAAAAATTATCACATTCACTTTTTTTTGGGGAAATAATTTTAAACCCTGATTTCTCTCCTATTGCCCATAGGAGCAATTCCATTTAACTGTTTTAACTGATCTCTGGGTTACGAGGTTTGATTGACTTTGTAGAAGCTTCAATCTTTTATGCAGCAAATTGGGAAAATAATCAGTTGTGCTCTGTACTCTATAAGGAATTAGTTGCCTGCCTCCTGCCATGTGTAATATGTTTGGCTAGTAATTTTACTTTACGAGCAAATAAGTGGAGGGGAAAACACTGCCTTGGTGAAAGTTTCATAGAAATCTGTTTAGGCCCAGAATCTGGCATTAATTTGTTCCTTCCTACAATGGAGCATCCTGCAATTTATGCTTTATATTTGAACAACCTTGTATCTTTTTAAGGGTACGTACTTCACTTAATGTTTTAGTGTCTTGGCCTGTGTAGACTGTAGACACTAAACACCATCCCACCACTGCAACTCTGTTACATATTTCTTCTTTACAAAATGCAACCTGTGTTTTTCACATATGCCATCTATTGTTACTACTGTAAGCAAAAATATTGTCAAACTGTGTTGGCATTCTAACTTTTAGCAGACCATGGAATGCTAGATGAATTTGAGGTGAACTGAAAGTTCTGAGGTCTAATTAAGCAGACGAGTGAGTTATAAATATGCCACTGAAATATGAAACTGGATTGCTAGTCTGATATAATGCGCATGAGGAAGATGCATATCCACATATAGTATCTATTTTCTTCTTACATCAAAGCTAGTAACATAGAGAATCACACCGTAAGGACTATTTCTTGTTTCCTGGTGATTTCTTATGCTTTGAGCAGCCATCCTAGGCTCCTAGCCAGTCTCAGTACTGTAAGACTGTTAGTTACTGCTCAAAGTGGAATGTAGGTATTTGGAATTTGGGATCTACAAAACGATGATGTTGTCTTTTCATGCTTTACCATTTGTCTTGCACTTTAGACCTGGATCGACAACTTATTCATCCTTTATGTCAATGTAGATTTATTCGCTTGCTTTGTTCAGGACGCATCTTTATGAGACCTCTTTCATGAATTATTTGTACATACTCATAGCCTTCATATGAGTACAGATGCTAACTTTTGCGTAGATCCAAAGCTATATATGTCTTTCATGAACTTTTGAACAGTTCTGCCAATCCTTTTACTGGATTCCTTTCGTCTTTTGTTATCTCTGCCCTGCATTTTATTATTTTTCTCCTTGCCTTTTTGCGCGACACTAGCACATTTCTTCTGTTTCTCAAATTTCCCTGTAGTTTAGATCTGCTGTGTCTGTGTGACCTCCATGCAGATGGTCCATAATTTGCAAGCACGGTATTTTTAACTCAGAACTTCAATTTCCGCTGAATTTTCTTATAAAGCCCCATTTGTAGTAATCTCCCTTGCCATGAAATTCCTACAGAATTTCTGTTGATTCAGATGGAGTAGTCTTCTGTGTGGTTCAATTACCATAGCTTGATTATTGTCATGTCCTAGAACTTTTTGGTGTGGTCCATTATGTTTAATGTGCAGATGCGGAATAGGGAATAGCTGGCAAAGCTGTTAATGACTTAATGCTAACCAACCACTGTCCACCGTCCATTATCTATGATGACAATTCTTTTCTGTATACTACTCGTACTTGTCTCTCCTTTTCTTCTAGCAAGATTTCACCTTAAGCAGCTGGAGTATACTACTATAGAGAGATAAATGTTTGGAACTCCCTACTACTTTTAAGTCTTCACTGGAGACAAAATGCATTATATAAAAATTTAGGGCTGGCTTTTGCACTCCAAATGGTATGTATGATATGGTCACTCACTCACTCCTATTAGGAATTGGTTTCATATTCCATTGAAATTCACTCCATCCATAAAAGACTTGTGGTGGGTTCCTGTATGCTGGGGGCATTTAAGGCCTAGTTTGTTTGGTTTGAATATAGATGAATGGGTGATAGATTTTCTAATTTTGTGATGATGTTCGATAAAAAATCAATCTAGATGAGATGTGACGTTTCCTAGTACAATGAATATGGATAGGAACATGTCCAAATTCAATATACTACTTCCTCCGTTTCACAATGTAAGTCATTTCTAGCATTTTCTATATTCATATATATGTTAATGAATCTAGATAGATATTCATTAACATCAATATGAATATGGAAAATGCTAGAATGACTTACATTGTGAAACGAAGGGAGTAGAAAACATCACATCTTATTCTAAATTGATTTTTTATGGGACGGAGGGGATACAAGCGAATGGATTACCATTATTACAAAGTTGGAGTTGTTTCAAAATAATATTTTAAGAAAATTATATATAGAATTCTTTATATATATATATATATATATATATATATATATATATATATATATATATATATGGTGTTCTTTTCTCCTGAAAATGAAGATGAAGATTAAGTTTTTTACGCAAAACTAGGTGGTATTAACGTATGATTGATTGAGTTTTAATTATTACAAATTTTAAAAATAGATTAATATGATATTTTAGAGCAACTTTCATATAGAAAGTTTTCTCACAAAACATACTGTTTAACAGTTTGAAAAGCGTGCCACGAAAATCTTAATTTTCATCCAACTCTTGTTGAAGAAAAGAACATGACTATATATATCGGTTAGGAGCTTGGGAAGCATATGCCATGGTAATTTGTTACAAGAGAACTCAACTGGCCTAGGTAAAACCGTGCCACAAACAGTGTCGGTAGAGCATGAAATGCCCTCGCGGTGAGCCGGTGAGTAGTCGCAACGTCTGCATCGCTGCATGTCATCTTATCTTTCTCTGCCTCCGGCCATTCTTTTGGCCTAAAATTTCTTTGTTTGGCAGCTGTAATGGGCGAAGCAATGCTTTTAATCCGATAAAGCTGTAATGCGAGACAAATCTTCCTTTAGCATCATAGTTCTTTGTCTCCAAGAACATTCCATTTCCACCGTCCAAGTGTCATGTAACGTCATCACATCACCCTCATACTGTCATACAGAAAAACTTATATAATCACATTATTTTTACTGACATGTGGGGCCGGCTCCAAAAGGTCCCGCACAATGGCAGCTGGACTATAGTGAAGTCCTTTCCGCTTAATTATGCCTTGGCCTCTTGTGTGAGCAGCTAACCATGCAAGCGAAGCGTCCCTGTACTAGAAGCCATACGGCGGCGCTCCGTACGTAGATCCATCTGCTCTTTGGTCACACTGGGATGTACTAATGCTGTCAATCATTTCGTGCTAATTTCCAAAAAAAAACTATTCATATACTGGTAAGGCATACGGGTATCAGTAGTACATCTCTTGAACATGAGCTTCATTGTTGTCTTGACTCTGAATATTTGACGGCGGGATAACTACGTGCATGGATTTGTTTTAGGGTGTTTTTTTAATAGCCGAATAATTCGTGATAATTATTCGAGGGTAAAAAATAATTGATTAAACATAATTGAAACTAATTTCGTAAGAAATTCATATATACTAACAAAGTTTTCTGTGAAAATATTACTATTTAGAAGTTCGGGAAGCGTGCCGTTAAATAGAATGGTTTCATTCCTTATAAAAGAACATCACCTTAGTGGGATTGAATCGGATGTAATTTACTCTGAAAAGTTTCATGGGCATTATTTTGTTGTTTGTGTGAATTTCACACAAACTCTACCACTCCATGGTGACATCGACAACAAATAACAATAGATCTATTTTTGCGGGGTTGTCGGTGAGGTCAAGGGGGCGTCGGGGGTGATCTCGCCGCGCCTCTTCGACGCCGTCCTCCGCCCACTGCGGCGTCGCCTCCGTGCGCACGCTCCCCGTCGCTGCCGGCGCCGGGGCCGCTCCCCTCCTCCCTCGTGCTCCTCGCCAAGGTCTCCATCGCCTACTTCTCGTGAGCCACGGGTGCCGCTGTCCTTGCCCGCTGCTCCTGCCGCCTCCTTGCCGGTGAGCGTAGATGGATCCTCCGCTGCCACCGTAGAAGCAGAAGAAGCTGGCGGTCCCGGTGCCTCGACTGCCGC